CTTTTCATTGTCTTTATAGATACAGTACAGGATATATACCCATGTAAACTGTCAGCTTTTCATTGTCTTTATAGATATTGTATACAAAAGATACTTTATAACAATAACTTCGAAGTTACAAGTGGAAACCAACAGATTATCTCCCCTTATTCAGTGTCGGTAGCTCTACAAAGTTACTAATATGATGACAATATTGTTATATGAACATGATAATGATTAAATACCTACAACAAGCAACGTGTAACAAACCAACAAACAACAACAAAAAGTTCTGAAAAACCATATGGTTCTCTTCGGAATACATTATTTCTGTTTCTGACAGGAACAAAAATTGCAATGACCTATGACGTCACAATGGAAGATGATGTTGCATTGTCATTTGACGTCATAAGAAGAAGATTGACCAGTGAAATCACCTCCAGGGTGTTACCCACTAGTGGGTAACCAAAAATATTTACCAACTCCTAGCAAGTTTATCCAATGAGTTGGAAGTTAGGAAATGTATAGTGGTTGTGTGAGAAATATACTCAGTGACAGCTTTAGGTTACCTAACCATATACTTCTTATTTTTTGGGGGTTTCTTTTTTCTTTGCTAGCTTGACTAGAGCCAGCTAATTACACAAACCAGGTCTTGTTTCTGTGAGTGAATGACAGTCAGTAGCAGTTGTATGTCATTAAGTTTTACAGATCAGAATCAGCAGGATTGATACAGCAGCATTTGTAGGGAGTTTCTTCAGCCACCTAAACCAAGCTTTGTAGACATATGTAGGGTTTTCTTATACAAACCACACCAAACACTAAACGACTTTGGAAGGTATCTTGGTATACATATTGTATCAAGTGTGGCTTGAGGCATTTTGAACTATTGTGGTTGTTTTCAAGTTGATCTTTGTACAATCTTTAAGTACAACTTAACAACCAAACTATGAGGTAAACTCATTGATTAATTAGGGCAAGGTGGAATAGTGCAAGGTAAGTTGGAGAAGAAACTTACAATGACAAAATCAAAAGTGGATATTGCATAATCAACTGTTACCATCAATAACATATATCTATATGATAACATTTAAACACAGATGATAAGTAGTGCCCCCTCCCCCATTTTCGGGAGGAGTTGAACTATATAAACCCATTCTATACTAGGCCTGACCTGGCCGGTCAATGAGATTTATGTCTGGTGATCACGTCTGAACTGCCCCTGAAAGCTAGGGGATGAAACATTTGATGTCTGGTGATCACGTCTGAACTGCCCCTGGAAGCTAGGAGATGAAACATTTGATGTCTGGTGATCATGTCTGAACTGCCCCTGGAAGCTAGGGGGATGAAACATTTGATGTCTGGTGATCACGTCTGAACTGCCCCTTGAAGCTAGGGGATGAAACATTTGATGTCTGGTGATCACGTCTTAACTGCCCCTGGAAGCTAGGAGATGAAACATTTGAGGTCTGGTGATCACATCTGAACTGCCCCTTGAAGCTAGGGGATGAAACATTTGATATCCAAACGTCCAGTCACACTGGAATGTTTATAATGCCTTTCTTGCACCGACTGTTCTATCATAACGGACATTTAATATCCTAATAAGCGCCCCCATTCTAGGTCATTTTTTAAGTGCCCTGGGCACGAATTATGGTGAATATGGTACGTCAATAAGAGGGGAAAAAAACAGAAAGGAAGTATTCTTATCAATGTATACATTGCTGCCAATGATCTAGCTGCTGTAAATATTGACATAGAGATAACTCAAATAGGCAGAGGCTGCTGTTCTGTATCTGCTAAATTTATTTATCAGTAAAAATTGTGGAAAATGAAAATATTTCTGTCATGTTTCTAGTATCCACCAGCACTGCTATTAAATACAGTACTTGGTAGAGATGTAAACATATGTAACAGGTAATGATAAATGAGTCTATCTATCTCTACAGACTTTCAACTGGNTTCTCTTCGGAATACATTATTTCTGTTTCTGACAGGAACAAAAATTGCAATGACCTATGACGTCACAATGGAAGATGATGTTGCATTGTCATTTGACGTCATAAGAAGAAGATTGACCAGTGAAATCACCTCCAGGGTGTTACCCACTAGTGGGTAACCAAAAATATTTACCAACTCCTAGCAAGTTTATCCAATGAGTTGGAAGTTAGGAAATGTATAGTGGTTGTGTGAGAAATATACTCAGTGACAGCTTTAGGTTACCTAACCATATACTTCTTATTTTTTGGGGGTTTCTTTTTTCTTTGCTAGCTTGACTAGAGCCAGCTAATTACACAAACCAGGTCTTGTTTCTGTGAGTGAATGACAGTCAGTAGCAGTTGTATGTCATTAAGTTTTACAGATCAGAATCAGCAGGATTGATACAGCAGCATTTGTAGGGAGTTTCTTCAGCCACCTAAACCAAGCTTTGTAGACATATGTAGGGTTTTCTTATACAAACCACACCAAACACTAAACGACTTTGGAAGGTATCTTGGTATACATATTGTATCAAGTGTGGCTTGAGGCATTTTGAACTATTGTGGTTGTTTTCAAGTTGATCTTTGTACAATCTTTAAGTACAACTTAACAACCAAACTATGAGGTAAACTCATTGATTAATTAGGGCAAGGTGGAATAGTGCAAGGTAAGTTGGAGAAGAAACTTACAATGACAAAATCAAAAGTGGATATTGCATAATCAACTGTTACCATCAATAACATATATCTATATGATAACATTTAAACACAGATGATAAGTAGTGCCCCCTCCCCCATTTTCGGGAGGAGTTGAACTATATAAACCCATTCTATACTAGGCCTGACCTGGCCGGTCAATGAGATTTATGTCTGGTGATCACGTCTGAACTGCCCCTGAAAGCTAGGGGATGAAACATTTGATGTCTGGTGATCACGTCTGAACTGCCCCTGGAAGCTAGGAGATGAAACATTTGATGTCTGGTGATCATGTCTGAACTGCCCCTGGAAGCTAGGGGGATGAAACATTTGATGTCTGGTGATCACGTCTGAACTGCCCCTTGAAGCTAGGAGATGAAACATTTGATGTCTGGTGATCA